TACTCATTGCAATAACTCTTCAGTAACGGACCGTATCGTTTCGAGAACTATTCAGATTTTCGGTTCATTTCTGACGTGGTGTGACCTCAAAATACTCGCCTCAAGCTCTATCCTGGGTGCTTTGAACAGTCTAGTCCTGGCGAAGATTTTGGCCGATGAAGAATATTCATCTATTTTTGAATACAACAATTTGTAATGTCATCCTCATAATCCTTAAGTGTGTTTAGCCCATCGATTAATCCGCGACTGCATATACTCACGTATTGTGGAGCGTTTATGGGTCTAGTGTTTTGTTTTACCGTTTTGATTCTCAATAAACTCACACTAAACTACTGTCATCCAGCAGTAAGTTCAAAATACTGTTATTTTTTATACAACAGGAGAGCGTATTCTCCATTGCGAAAGATCATGTGATGACACGTGTCTTCACAACTGTCGGTAGGATGCTGTACTTCATACTATTGTGTGCAATGTGCCCTAACCATATTCTTGGCTCTTCACAGAAGTGAGTAAAGTTGTTTCTAAAACAGTTTATATAAAAGTGTGTCCTTCTTTTGGATAGTTGTAGACAAACAACTACTCCTGTTAATGTTTTTGACTACCTTCCACCTGCATTTCTGTTGGAGTTGTGCGATTGACATCTTGAAATCACAGTTTTTGAAGGTAATTACATTTTCTTAATTTAACACTTTTCAGCCTGTTGACATCCCTTTGTTATCTGTTATCCGACCTTCTCGTTCTGTTCAGGGGATCCTAAGTAACTCCAGTGATACAATAGAACAAGTAAGGTTACTTCCATGTAAATAACTTTGTAGCACTTGGTTTTTGAAAGATTGGCCGACCTGGTGGCTACCAGTCAATCCGTCAGATCATCCATATTTTCCCTCAGTCATATAGGTACGTCTATTATAACGTTGCTATTAACCCCAGAAGCATTTAAGGTTTACAGTCCTAATTATATTTGTTTTATGAGTAGATTCGTATCTAATAAGCAGCTAGGCTGAATACGTATATATATATATATATATATATATAGTTTCGTCGAGCGTACTTCTACTAAATGCGAGTTACAGATACGACTATAATTTAAAACCAGCGTAAAGGTTACAAAGGATAATTGATAAGATCCTGAGAGACAATTTTGGTAATATTTAGACTTCATCATTGTCAGTCACACAGCTCTCCTCTGACTGAAACCTTTTATTTCACTGTTGGTGAGTGGGTAATTTATGGGAAATGTTTTTAACAAACTGATTCTCCTAAATACTGCGCTGAGGATGTCGTCCAGAAAGACGATGAAAGCTCCGCAATTAAAACAAGGAGCTCAGAGAACACTATCAATTGCAAATCATCTACCTGAGTTACAAATCTTTTCTATTATTTCATTCCATTATCAGGCGTGAGGCTAGCAACCCCACCCTGTAGACAAAAAACTTCTACAGAAAGTTCAGTACGATGAGCCTCCGTGTGACAAAAGAAAAAGTCTGCGGAGACATGGAACGTCCGCACTATATGTGAAAGTGGCAAAGCTGCCCAGATTGCGAACGAGATAAAAGATACGGAATTCAAGTATTGGGAATATGCGAAAGCAGGTGGAAAGGGGGTGGACTGAAAAAATTGTGGAACAGATAGTCAGTGATCTACTCTAGTCACCCAGAAGATAATCACGAGCACAAAGAAGGTGTGGTTATCATGATGTTAACAACTGCAAGGAAGGCCTTGATACAATAGGAGGCGAACTTTCCCAGGATAATGACAGCCAGATTCAACTCAAAATGAAGTAAAGTGACAATTATACAGTGTTATGCATCCAAAAACAATGCAGACCTCGAAAAGAAAAAGGAGTTCTACGGGCAACAATAGACAAAACTGAACGATCAGGACCCAAAGTACGTCTTTACTGAAATTATAAGGAAAAAGGCGGAGACACAAATCAACAGTAGCGAAGAGACCAGTGTTAAAAAATACTGGAACAACCTGAAAGCGGTGTGGAGTCAAACCTGCATGGAAGTTCTAGGTAGAAAGAAGAGACAGGAAAAACAGTGGCTCGCTACGGACATTTGGAAACTAATAGAAGAGAGAAGGATAGTGAAACAAAAGATTATCCAGTGCACCGACGAGCAACAAAAACAGGAGTTGAATGCAAGCTACAATACACTGAACAAAAGAGTAAAGAAGAGTGTCAGGGAAGACAAAGGAAAATATTACGAAGCCACGGAAAGTGAAGCAGAACAAGCTGCAGGCAAAGGAGACCTCGAAACACTCTACCAAACAACTAGACACCTATCAAGTGAAAGTTCGACACAAATCAAGCCAGTAAAGGATGACAATGGAAAGTCAATCACCAAAGAGGTGGAGCGAAGAAAATACTGGGCTGAACACTTCAAAAGACTTCTACCACGGGGTGCACCGACAATTATACACCTCACGCAGCAGTTGTACGACAACGCTGCATACCAAGTAATACACAACGGGAAACTCATGGAATCCTTCGAAGTGAAGACATGTGTAAGACAAGCTGGCTACCTACCATCTGTAATGATTTTCGTGATTGCGGTGGAGTGGATAATGTAACAGACAGCGGTCAACGAGGAAACAGGTATAAAATGGATCCACACAGAAGAAGAAACTGGGTGATCTGGACTTCGATGATGATACATGTCTGATTTCCCACAAACTGGAAGATATGCAAGTGAGAAGAAACAAGTTGGCAGGAGAAGCATCAAAGATAGACTTCCTTCAGGTGAACAAAGAGAAAACAGAGGTGATGATTCCTGGTCAACAGAAACAACAGCAAATAACAATCAGTACACATGGGAGGAATCCGAAAGAAGTAACCTCCTACCTACCTGGGAAGCATTCTTTCAACTACAGGTGGGACTCACGAGGATATCATCAAAGCGAGGATTGGAAAAGCAAGGCAGGCTTTGATTGCTCTCAATTATGTGTGGAGGTCAACAGCGCCGCTCAGCATGAAAAATAAGATCCGGATTTTCAGTTCCAGTGTGAAGTCAGTGCTACTTATCATACGGATCAGAGACTTGGCGCCGCGTCACGAAGGCCACTTCGAACAAACTACACACCCTCATCAACAGCTGTATCCGCTCAACACTCAAGATCAGATGGCTGGCCAGAGAAGATCAGTGGCAGTGTGAGGGATCTCTGGCAGTCAACGAACCAACCAACCCAACAGGCAGTAACTGTGCAACAAATATGCAGGAGGAAATATAGATGGATTAGATTGGCCATTTTCTGAGAAAACAAACCATCAAGTGAGTAACATCACACGTCAAGCTCTCTCTCTAGAGTGGAACTCAAATGTGAAGCGGCGATTTGGTCGTCAGTGCGAGAGTGACGAGGAGTACGTCATGAGAAGGGGAGGTGGAAGCATGTGGGCAGACGTGTAGCCGGGTGAAAACGATGACGAAGAACCGAGCGCAGTGGAGACGTTCAGCTAAAGCTCTATGTTCCTCTAGGAATTAAAGGAAACAGTAACCGTTAATAAGTCCTTCAGTCATCTGGGAGCGAAGTACATAAATTGTTCTATTGCAACCTTGCATTTGTTGTGCCGTTTTATAAACGTGTTCGTCTATTTGTTCATCAGTCACCTAGTCAACACCTTTACGCTTGAATTTTACCAGATAATAATGAATAATTTGACATTTTTTGTTTTTGTTGATTAGGTGGTCGGCCTGTAGTATGGAAACAAATAAGCAACTTATGTATCCACTTAATTGATCAGTTTGTGACGAACGTTCAAATGGCAAATAATTGTGGGATTAACAACTTGGGTACACGTGAGTTTGACTAATTGGTAACATTTTTACAATATGCTTAGCCATTAGTAGTCTACAAAGGATGGGTGGATTAAAATGAAAATTTTTGAAAAAAAAATAATACATCTAAACAGTTTTCCGTCAGACCGACAAACAAATTCATCATGTATGTCTCAAAATTTTTTCATCAGTCAACCAACATGTAGTCAATGGAGCTTTGACGGGAATCACGGACGAATTCACTCCTTGGCTATAAAATATAAGCGCCTGCAGACCGACGCTGCAAAATCACCTTTAACATTTAACAGATTCTAAACTCAGTACGCATGCCAAAAAATTATGCTCAGATTGAATCCTTAGTGGCTTTATTATCATCGTAGTGAAACATGGTTTCAGTGCACTATTTACATCACCGAGTTCCCTGAAGTATCTTTTAGTTGGCTCTATGATTCCTCCTAACCTCTCATTCCTTCCTAACATAATCTCCACATCAACGTCGGAAGCCCAACACGTCGTTCCCTATTTGGGTTCGACGCCAATGGCCTCCTCTGCAAATGTCTCATGCATCTTCATGACCTGTGTATTCTTGGTTGACTCGGTGCTATAATTCCTTGCTACTATTCCTTTCTAGTCATCTGATCTTCAGTGGAAAGCAAAGATGGCTGTTTATCTAATTGAATTTTAGATTTTCCCGTCGATGGATTGGACCGAAGTACTCAGTCTCAGGTTGACATGTCGACTTCTTGTGCAGATGCTTCGACAATGTCTGAGCATGTAATTAGAAGTTAATTGGTGGATAGTGACTAACAGTGTAATCCAGGATGCGCATTTCGTCCTATTTGGGACTCGTCGTCATCTGGATGTACCTGCACTCCCCAGTGAGTGATGATTTCCCACCGAGGCTCGAACACAGTGCCGATAGCTTCAAACACCATAGCGTTATCCACTAAACCATTTAGACCAATCAATAGGACCCATTGCACAAGAGGTGGCGTTTGAAACCATGGGCACTCGGTTCGAGCTTTGGCAGGAAATCATCACTCACTGGAGAGTGCAAGTACATCCAGGTGACGAATCCCGAATGGGACGAAGTTCGTATTTTGGATTCCACTGCTGGTCACCATCCGCTAATTAAAGATGGCTGTTGATGAAAGCCTTCAACAGACTGTTAGAAATGCTTTTGGTGAATCTGGTACTAAGTGTGTCCGAACCATGTAGTAGACACAATAACTGCTTTGACATCAGTGTTAAAAATTCAAATCTTTTTCCTCATTTAGAGTGCGGCAAATTTTCACACTGATTTAAAAGTAATCATCAAGGTGTGTCTTCCATTCGCCATCCTCATCTGTGCCTGCTGTGGTTTAAAGGATGCTCTTTTCGTCAGTGAAAGATAGTGGTTCTTGTTGATAGTCAGGTGTTTCCATCACCCTTGTCTTCTCTGTGTCTACTAGAATGAAGTCCAGTCTTTTCTGCTTCTGACGATTTGTTGGCTGTCGCCTATAGATCTTCGAATTTACGTGGCAAAGTTCAGATCTTCCCCGAGTCTTCTGATCAGTCCAGCGTATTTCTGGCTTCCATCCACAGTCTGTTGCATGATCCACTTCACCATAATAAATGATATGATCGATGATAGTAGGCAACCTTGTCTTACTCCTACCTCCATTTTTCAAAGGCTCTACTGAAAGTCCCGTAGTGAGTCACTTGACATGTAGCATCACAGTATTTAGCTGTTGAATGAGGTTGGTAATAGTCTGATGTACTTTGTTTGACAAGGCAACCTTTCATCTTTGCGATGGGTGTTTTACCTTCCTTTTAAACTTTCTGCAGTAATGACGTAGTGATATCCTCCGAGGTCTCAGTATCCGTTTTCCTTGCTTCCGGCTGTCTTTCAGCATTGTTTTGGCACTCAAGACTTTCGCTTTCGTCGAAGCACTGGTGTTTATTGATTGTACTGTGCGCGTTGTTGGTGATTTTTCTGCACGAGTTTTAGGCGGTATTCGTTTCAAGAGTCTTTTGGCGTATTTACAAAACGTGAATACGTCTCTTATGTACTTCAAATCATCATGGACCCTCTGCGCAATAATATATATAGTACTGCAGTTCTCTGATGGATACCGCTGATTGACATCTTAGATGTAGCCCTCCATAAATAGTTGTACAAACTAAAGTAAGCAACTGTTAATACAGGATAAATCCACGCCACTTTCATTAGAAGAAATTGTCGATCGAGTTATTTGTTTGCTTTAGATCGTTATGTTCGTATTGGAGAATTTAAACGAATAGAAAGACTTAACGGTTCAACTGCGTCCAATGGTGAGGTCTCTGGTTGTTTCGGTGTGTTAGTGTGCCGAATATACTCAATTGTATGTGACGTCACTCTAACCAAGCCTTTTTATCTTCAAAATATCTAGATAAAGTTGGCATATTAAGCTACTATGAAATGAATGCTACTCAACAATGACGAAATCTGTTTACCCAATATAATTACCGAGAGGGGTTTCTTCCTCATATATATGTTATAGTGCTATAAACGTGTTATTTGAAAGTAATTACTGGTAGATTATACTTAAAGAAGTATTATGCTCATACATACTTTCCCTGTACACATTTCTAGCTCTCTGGCCCAAAAGTGTAGATATTAAATACAAACAACACCTGCCATCATCATTCAAGGCACAAATACGTCAACGCGACATAACTACAACGAAAGCCTCCGTGACTACTGGTAAATCATGGCCTAATCCCCAACCAAATGGCTCTATAATCCTTCAAAACTTCATAAATGCTGGACGCACACTGTTTTCAAAAGTAAGTTGGTTGGTATGCAGCCTGAATATTTGCTGTACTGACAGTTTCCAAACGCTGGATTAGGTCTTCTCATGATTATCAATTCCTGATAGAGGTTACCAAACACTTATTGTGACATATTCTAGAGTGTGTAGTGCTAGCCATCAACAACTGCTTGACAGTCAAACTTAGTTTTAAATTTCGATTAAAAAAAACGAAAGACGTATATGAAATTATTTCATCATTTTATTTCACAGTTTCTTATCAGTTGCAAGCTACCTGAATCTATAATGTTTATATAAACGTGATGATAACATAATCCAATGTTTGAATGGGTAATAGAGAATATTTTATAGAAGGTTAACGCATCCAAAATGTAAGCATTACACTAATTTTGGTTTGAGTTGCCATCAATTTATATGCTTTTAAAATAGAAAACCAGTGGGGAGACAACAGAAAAATCCATCGTACAGTGTCAGGTCATAGTTTATAAGATTGGAAACTTGCTCAGTGATCTGAAGTCACTAATACGAATGACAAACCCGTGTTGTCAAAATGGAGTTACCAGGACAGTGAGCGATTGTTGATCACATTCTCTTTCTGTATGCATAAGTTAAGTTTTAAAGGTGTGATTGCAATTGCTTCAGCAAATTTTCTGTCATTTGTATATTTAATATTTTTTGAAGCATTTAAAAATCTCGATGAAACTAGCCGTATCCACAAGGTGTGCCTGGTAATTGCACTTTGCGAATATCTGCATCTCTTTTAGGCATAAGTTTGTTCTTTGTGCTCAGAAAAGCTGGCTGACTGGTTTCAACATACAGCTTTGCTCCGATGTGCACCAGTTCAAGTCGCCACACTCCACTCCTTGTAGCACACAAAGTAACAGAAGGAACTAGAAGAAATGCATAATAGAGACAGTAAACAGAGGTGTGAGATGAAGGAATAGTAATAACGAAGAACAATATAGTTTCATTGGAAATCATAATTCATAAGGAGTGGATGCATCTGCACTATTGAGAACGATCACTTTGAGCCATATCACTAATTGTCTCCAGCCATTGGTTTTTACCGTCCGAAAACCCCAACCAGTCAGGAAGTCTACACCTTCCTACGTGGCTGACTTCAACTAACTGTTGTGGATTTCATTGAGTGATGAGGCCTTGTTTTGATTTGACCACTTTTCCAACCTGACCCTATGTCAACTAACATTGCCCGTAGTCGAAGAAGGCAATGGATAGCTAGGCAGACGTCCTAACCATCTCGAAACAATTGCACAAGTCATACGGTTATGTATTACAGTTGCTTCTACAAAAGCGTTTTTTGTATAACAACTGAGTTTGCTTCAAAGTTGTATCCCCGTAGAAACAGCTTTTGTATAACGGAGACATTTTCAGGGTAGTCAAATCAAAGCATGACATCAGTCCATGAAATCTTTGACCATTGATTCAACATGTGAACTTCGTTGGCAGCTGGGGTCCTCGAAACACTGAAAGCTAATGACTGGAGACTGTTGGTGATACAGCCCAAAGTCATGGCTGTATTCGCTCTCTGTTGTATCCCAGATCCATTAAATTCTCATCATTTCGCACATAATTATTATTCCTCCTTCACATATCCGTTCATTTTAGTATCTCTAATTTTCCCCCTCTACCTCATGTGTTATATCTAGTTTTGTAACTAGAACTTCTGTGCTTTTGTGCAAAGTTCTGCGTTGATTAAGACTCGGTCAGTGGGTTCTTAATTTATGATGAGAATTCTCTAAAGAAAATCTGTGTGAACCGGCGTCGATCATATTAGTGCAGTTATTTTTGTCATCATTTTGCAACTATGAATAACCTTTAGCGTTATCTTCATCCATTCATTTCCGTACTATTTTGCTCTCCTAATCTGTAAACCCCATAGCATTTGGAACTGACATTTGCCCGTAATACAGAACTTTCACAGGCCAGACAATTATAAGACATCTAAACGACAAATTTTATGACAATTATTGCATACTCTTCAAGAATTGCTTTTCGTTGCAACCTAGACGCCAGTTGAAGGCAGTTGTACTAAACATTGAACCACAATTATTGATCGGTGGTTGGTAGTCATACTGCTTGATTCCAACAACTTCGATGAGGATGGGACTCATTTTTAACCTGTGTAACTAAAGGCAATTATTATTATTTTTATTATTATTCCCTTGAGCTCCTAATGGAACAAAGGGCTTCACCAACACATCTCTATTTTCCCCTATCTTCAGCCTCGACCACGATTGTCCACAATCTCTCATCTCCTACTCACACGATCTCCTCCATGTCACCCTCACACCGACGACCCACTCGTCGCTTCCCACTGGGATTCAACTTGAGCTATGACCTTCATTGCGCGCGATGTCATTCGATGGCCTGATCCACTTCCATTTTCTACTACATATTTGTTGAGTGATCGCCTCTTGGTTGACTTGTTCCCAGAGTTTCTTTTTCCCAGTTCTTTCAGGCCATTTGATCTCCTGTATTGAGCCGGCCAGGGAAGTTGGCAACTGTTGATGAGAGTCTGCAACAATCTTTTGGAAATCCTTTTCTTGATACGCAAGCTCAGTGCAAGTTTCTGACTCATATAGAAGGGCCGACTTGACATTGGTGTTGAAAATGCGAATCTTGTTCTTCATGTTGAGTGCAGAAGATTTCAAAACTTGTTTCAAATTGATGAAGGTGTATCTTGCCTTTCCGATTCTGGCTGGCTGGCTTTGACATCTTCATCCATGCAGGTTGAAAAAGAGTAAGTGTTGGCCAGACAAAGACATGACATCCATTCGTGAAATCCTTGACATTTAAACTGAGTCAGGTAGGGAGATGCAGACTTCCGCGTTGGGGCTCTCAGGACTCTAAGAATCAATGGCTGGAGACAATGTCTCTGTCTGTCTGTCTGTCTGGATTCAACATAGAACTTGGCACCGAAGTGCAGCAGTTCGAGTTGCCACGTTCCAAATAGCACACAGAGGTAGACAAGAAGATGAGTGAAGAGAATCGGTAGAGTTTGACAGGTATAAGAGCGAGACAGAATGGGTAATGGTAGAAAGGAATATGAAAGATTACAGAGACTGAATACATCTGCGCTGGCCATTGACAACGATTTTGAGCCATGTCACCTATTGTCTCCAGCCATTGATTCCTAGAGTCCCGAGGGCCCCAACCCGGGAGTCTGCATCTCCCTACCTAACTCAGTTTAACTGTCAAGGATTTCATGGATTGATGCCATGTTTTTGTTTGGCCACCACTGGCTCTTTTCCAACCTGAACCTATGTCAGCTAGCAATGCCCGTTGGGGGAGGCGGTGGTTAGGCATGCGCAGCACGTGACCTAACCATCTTAGTCTATGTAACTTTATAGCCTCGTCGATTGATTTTCCCTCTTTGCCCAACACTCTACGCCTAACGTCAACATTACTTATCTTGTGAAACCACCTAACGTGAGACAGGGATCGCAGACATCTATGATCGAAAGCAGTCAACCTTTTCATGTCTTCAACGCGTATTGGCCATGTTTCAGAGCCATAGAGAAGGACGGAGCGAACTGATGAGCAGTACACACGTCCCTTGGTTGATAACCGGATGTCACGCCTACGCCAGAGATGGTGTAAGTCAGCGAAAGCAGCTCGAGCTTTTCGGATCCGTGCTGAGATTTCATCGCCAATCAGTCTGTTGGTGCTGATACAACTTCCCAAATAGGTGGAGTGGTCAACATGTTCTATCACTTCACTCCCTATCACTTAGCTAGTAGTTGACGTGGTCCAGTCCTGTAGCAGCATCTTACATTTTGTAGGGGCGAATCGCATGCCAAACATACGAAGATTGCTGCTCAAGGTGTTTAGAAGACTCTGCTGGATTTTGTCAGAATCCTCCCCTAACAGGACTATGTCATCTGCATATTCTAAGTCCATAAGATTATTCCCTGGTAACAAGTCGATTCCTAAGTCATTACGTTCAGTTAAGGATACTTCCATCAGCATATCTATGAGGAAGTTAAACAGAAATGGGGAAAGTGGACATCCCTGTCGGACACCTGGTTGTTACCAATTCAGATGACAATTCCCCATAAGCCCTTACACGACTACGTGAGTTTGAATAGAGTGCCTTGATTAGTGCAATGTATTTTCTTGGCACTCCCTTCACAGTCAGACAATGCCATAGTACCTTTCGATCCACGGAGTCGAAGGCCGCCTTCAAGTCAAGAAATATGACAATTGTTGGACACCGAAAAGTGTGTCTATGTTCTAGAATCTGTCGACCGAAAGCTGCTACCTTGACGTGGTGGTCGGGCTTGAACACCGCAATGACCTAATCAAGCTATACTGGCTGAGACTTATGTCTCTTGAGGTTCTACCATGCCAGGCAGGTTGTTTGGATAGCGGTTAAACAAAAAGCAGCTACCCAATCCAACATCATGTCCAATACAAAATTACAAAATTTCATGCCGGATCGGCCGTGGCCCGGATTAACAACGACCGCGCTTCCTGCTGCCGTGTCACAGGGCGGGAGTGATAAATCTGCTACTGAGACACACCAAAAAAAAAGAACGAACAAAAACAGGCCGCGTGTGACCGGCCTCAAGCAGTTGTCCCCTGGGCTCTGCGGTCACGCAACCAACTTCCACGGTGTGGGCAGCCGGGAAGTAACAATCGCCCTCACAATCCGAAATGCACACGAAACCTCTCTATTACTCACTCATCTTTGTCTTCATCTTCATCTCTATCATCTTGCCTTCCTTCCACTGATGCAACTCCTCGACTTGATAGCTCTCCACTCTGCGTCCACTAAAAACGATGGAAGCCAAAAAACCACCACCGACAGCCTCTTAAAGCCGCGCCACCAATTTCATATAGGAGCTCTTAATGTTAGGACACTTTGCCAAATAGGACAACAAGCATCACTAGCCAAGACCCTGGCATCACGAGCCATTGATGTATGCTGTGTTTCAGAAACACGCATACAAGACCCAAGTGTGGTTATTCACCTAACCCCACCTGGCCAACAGGTTGAATCTGCAAAATTCACCTTGAGGGTGTCAGGAGATGCCACAGCTAGTTCACGAGGATTAGCTGGCGTAGGGATAGCTTTGAGTACTAGGGCAGAAAAGACATTGCTTGACTGGATCCCGGTAGATAGCCGAATGTGTGCTGTCCGCCTGAACGGATCAGTAAGAAGGAGGAAGGACTGCACTACTCGCCGATGCCTTTTCGTAATCTCCGCCTACGCCCCCACTGACTGCAGTTCAGATGAAACGAAGGATGAGTTCTACCAAAAGCTGTCTAGTTTGGTGGAAAGGCTAAACGCTCAGACATAGTCGTTCTAGCTGGTGACTTTAACGCTCAAGTAGGGAAATTGTGTCAATCTGAGAAGGATGTCGGTGGCACCTATGGAGTCCGTGCCAGCGAACCGACAACGGTGACCGTCTCCTACAGTTCTGCTCTGATAATCATTTGTTTCTTGTAAGCACTAACTTTAAACACAAGGAGAGACACTGTTTGACTTGGAGACCCCCTTCATCAAACCAACGCTGGACACAAATAGACCACATAGCAATAAGCTATCGTTGGCGTGGGTCGGTAGGAGATTGTCGCTCCTTCTGGAACACGTGCGTAGATACCGACCATGCACTGGTCCGCGCTCGGGTGTGCTTACGACTGAACGGACGTAGGAAACAGCTGGCGGTAAAACCATCACGTCCCCAGCTCGATCAGGAAACTAAATCCGTATTTGAGGAAGAACTAGCTAAACACATATCTGTGTTCGACAGCTGTGCTCACCCTGAAGAAGCTTGGAAAAATATCCAGGCAGCCATAGATACAGCTGTAAAAGCTGTGAATAAGGTAAACCCAAAGGTGAGTAAAAACCACTGGATCTCCACCGCCTCATCCGAACTGATAGATGCTAGAAGACTTATTCCGGCGAGCTCCGAATTCAATGAGGAGCGAAAGCTGCACAAGAGGAAACTTACGAAAAGTCTCCGCAAGGACCGTGAACAGTGGTGGGCGACAAAAGCCAAAGAGATGGAGAAAGCTTTGAGGATAGGCAACACCAGGCAACTCTTTGGACTCATCAGGGAAACGGGTGGGAGAAGACAAATCATTAGTGAGACAATCTCGGAAAAAAATGGCACTATAATTAGCTCACAGGATAGACGACTGGATCGTTGGAAAGAGCATTATGAGGAGCAGTTTAATTTGCCCACAGCCACGCTCAACCTTCCGAGCATCCAACACCTCCCTGAATGGGATATAGACACAGGTCCTCCGTCACTAACTGAGGTTACTAAAGCTGTCACCAATCTGAAACTAGGCAAAGCAGCGGGACCTGATGGAATGACTCCAGAGGTATTTAAGTACGGTGGAGACAGCTTACTGTCCGGATTAACTGAGGTACTAGGCAGCGTCTGGGAATCAGAAGAAGTCCCATCGGGTTGGTGTAAGTCACTGATTATCCCCATATACAAGAAGGGAGACAAGTCTTCCTGTGATAATCACAGAGGGATTAGCTTGACTAATATAGTATCTAAAGTCTTAGGCTCAATAATCATGCGTAGACTGAGTGGTGCTCGGGAAGCACAAACACGAGAGAGCCAGGCAGGCTTTAGACCAGGAAGAGGGTGTATTGATCATATCTTCACCCTCCGACAGATTCTAGAACATAGGCATTCCTACCGGCGTCCAACAGTCATTATATTTCTTGACCTAAAGGCAGCATTCGACTCTGTCGATCGGGAAGTTCTCTGGAGATGCTTGGCTGTAAAGGGAATTCCGAGAAAATATATTGCACTGATTAAGGCACTCTACTCGTACTCATACAGCCAGGTGAGGGCTTACGGCGAGCTGTCATCTGAACTGATGACGACCAGTGGTGTCCGTCAAGGATGCCCATTATCTCCTTTTCTATTCAACTTCATCATAGATGTGTTAATGGACTTAACCCTAGGTGACTTCAGCGACTCAGGGATTGACTTGCTACCGGGAATAATCTCGTTGACTTGGAATATGCAGACGATATAGTCCTTCTAGGCGAAGACGCTGACGAAATGCAGAGTCTTCTAAACACCTTGAGCCGCAATCTACGAATGTTTGGCATGCGATTCGCTCCCGCCAAATGCAAGATGATGTTACAGGACTGGACTACATCGACGCCTAGTTTAAAAATAGGAAGTGAAGTGGTAGAGCACGTTGACCGCTTCACTTATTTGGGAAGTACCATCAGCCCCAACGGGCTGATCTCTGACGAAATCTCAGCACGAATACAAGGGGCTCGTTTCGCATTTGTTAGTTTACGCCGACTCTGGCGTAGACGAGATGTTCGACTATCGACCAAAGGGCGGGTGTACTGCTCATCAGTCCGCTCCGTCCTCCTTTATGGTTGTGAGACCTGGCCACTGAGAGTGGAAGACATGAAAAGCCTGGCTGTCTTTGGTCTTAGGTGCCTGCGTTCTATCTCACGTGTTAGGTGGTATAACTGGGTGAGCAATATTGACGTTAGGCGTCGAGTGCTAGGTAAGGAGGGGACATCAATCGATGAGGCTGTGAAATTACATCGACTGAGATGGTTAGGACATGTGTTACCTATGCCTAGTCATCGCCTTCCTCGACGGGGAATGTTAGCTGACATAGGGTCAGGCTGGAAAAGAGCTAGCGGCGTTCAAACAAAAACTTGGCACCAGTCAATGAAATCCACAACAGTTGGTCTAAGCCACGTAGGAAGGTGTAGACTTCCAGGCTGGGGTCCTCGGGACGGTAAAAACCTATGGTTGGAAACAATTGGTGACATGGCTCAAAACCGTTCTCAGTGGCGCAGATGCATCCACTCCTTGTGACTTATGATCTTCAATGAAACTGTTTTGTATTTCTTTATTACTCCTTTGTCTCACACCTCTGCTCACTGTTTCTATTATGCTTTTCTTGTACTTTCTTCTCTTGCTTCGCGTGCTACACGGAATGTGGCGACTTGACCTGGTGCACATTTGTGCAAAGTTCTATGTCGAAAACAGACAGACAGACAAACAGAATCTGTCGAAGAGTGAAGATATGATCTGCTGGAGACAATAGGTGACATAGCTCAAAATCGTTGTCAATGGCCAGCGCAGATGTATTCAATCTCTGTAATCTTTCATATTCCTATCTACTATTACCCATTCAGTTTCGCTCTTATACCTGTCAAACTCTACCGATTCTCTTCACTCATCTTCTTGTCTACCTCTGTGTGCTATTTGGAACGTGGCAACTCGAACTGCTGCACTTCGGTGCCAAGTTCTATGTTGAATCCAGACAGACAGACACACTTTCATTCTGGCTTTCATCTAGAGTAGCTGGTTGACCTTTTTCGCGAAGGCGTTGTTTCACCAGCCTCTGTGTCATTTCGCCTCTCCGATTCCAGCTAAGAATAAGATTGTTTTTCACAAATTTTATATTTTTAACATATTTTCTGGGTATTGATGTTTCTCTTGTAGTTTGATAGGTTTAGCGGTGTAGGGTTTCTAGCCACACGCCCAGCACTCCCCCTTTACCCGGGTTTGAGATTGGCCAAAAAACTAGCAAGCTAGTTAACTAGGTGAGGTTAGTTAAAAACAATTACTAGTTTATAATGTCTAGTCCATTCCTTTGTGTATATTGATTTCTCTATCTTAACAGTTATCCCTTTGAGCTAGATTACTAAAATCATGTAGTGTACGGGGAATAGGTTTGTCTTGGCTTATGTTTCTGATCAGTCAATCGAATTTTACCTTCCTCTTGAAGAAAATAATAAAATACATCTGGAAATCTTACCCGTCGTGTCATCACATTCACATATTCTTAGTCCTGTTGACTTGTTATGTATGTTTATAGTTAGACTGAAATGCTAAATGTGTAATATCCAACCTCTAATTATTATAATCACCAGGTGTGTCCATGGATTCCTCAAACACCAGTTGTCAGTGTATTTTCATCAAAAATTGCTTATGCATCGACAGCTCATCTCTTTGCGACTGCAACAGATATCGATTATGCAAATAGCGCAAATCCCAGTCAACTAACAGTACAAACAAGTGGTCAAATTATTATATGGGCAACAGAAGTTTTAGCCTGTTTAACATTATCTGCATATACTGAGGATCCATTTGGTACAGTTCAGCAGTCTTTGGGACAGATTCTGTTACTATTCGCTGATGCATTAGAGGTATGTTTTTGTCCAATTCTTATTATTGTTGTTATAAATAAATCCTACCGTTGTCATCACCAAGATATCCATTACCCAAAATAATGTTGCAGTGCTATAATAAAAAGATAAAAGAGGGAGTTATGATAAAATAACACAGCTAACTCTTTCCATTAACAGACGACATAAGGAGGACTAGCGCATAATAGAGGGGGTGTGTGTGTCAAAAGCTGTTAAGATAATATTCGCACATTAGAGGTACCGAAATCGGCCTTCTGAAATAGCAACACTTATTGACTTACCTTTTTCGTCGCAAGTGAACTCATCCCCCTCCCCCACTTAGTCACAAGGGTGTTTCCATTGAATATGGGTAATCTTATGGAAACAGCAATGAATTCAACACAATTAACCGACTTTTTTTTAACTTAGAAACAGTGGATTTCACAGGTATGTGAATTGACTGATAGTAGTAGTATAGTGATGGCAGGTTGTGTCAGAAGTTGCTACTGGATAGAATTCGACTCTAATCTATACAAAGCTAGAAGAAAAAAAGACGACCTCCACTGTGTGATCTAAAGTGAGTCTTCTGATAACAGTCATACAAGTTTTTAAAACAATTAGTCCCTTTTATGAATTTAGGCTTTTTATGCAGCTAATATCATAATAGTTGAGAATGTGAAGCCAATATATCCATCTTAGCCCTTTGAACATGCGAAAAATGATGTCACATCCCACTGTATTTACCAATTTGAATGTTCGTTTGAACACACATACATACTTGGGGAAGACTCATCGATCTCTGTGAGTAAGGGGTGGCTTCAAAACATATTCCTAAATGGCTCCAGAAGCAAATAGAATCTTCAGAACCCATTAATGGGGGGGGGACAAGAGACCTAGCTCTTCTATTGCGAAACATAGTATATAGACAGGACATAAAACTGACGTTAACAGATCTATTTATAAAACGTGTTTCGGGCGTATCCTAAAGTTTGTGGTAGCCCTAGCAATTATAAAGTTTAAATCACCTCTATGCGTTCAAAAACAACTGATCATCACACTGAACTTTCTTTGGTAAACTTTGTTTTGATACCAGTCAGCGTAGATGTACTCTGTTATTTGGTTTATGCGTCGGTGGTATAGCGGTTAGGACGTTTGCCGACCATGCATATGGTCCGGGGTTCGACTCCCGGCCAGCGCACTCCTTAACCTCACTGAGCCAGAAATAATGGTGGTGGTAAAGAGGAAAGGTTGGGCATGAGGCTAGCAACCCCATCCTGTAAAAATTAAACACTGCTACAGAAACTTCAAGCCACTAGCTTGGAGCCCTATGTTCCACTAGGAACGTGAAGGAAAAATTATTTATTTAATTATTATTTGGTTTAGTGGTCTTCATTGTTATTTTGACCTTGCATATGTCCTGTAGGTATGACCTAGGTCTGTTTTCTGACGTCTTAACTCTATTAATTTCATATATATTCCTATGACAAGTCTGTGTGTTATCAGATTGTTCGAAATGTGTTGCGCAAATACATTACAGGATTCAAACAAATTACGTTTTCTTATTGCTTTATGTAAAAGTAAAATTAAATAGAAGTAATGACATCAGCTGACATCAGGTAGAGAGCCATTGGAAAACCTGGGAGTACTGGACAACTGTTGCGTCCTAGTTTGGGACTCTTCAGCAGTATGTACCCACCGGGGTTCGAACCCAGGACCTTCTGGTTACAAGGCTAGAGAGCTAGTAGACCATTGAGCCACTGGGACCCGATCCAATGGTCCTTCAATTCTAACTTCTGCCAATTCACGACATAACGCGACCATTTCGCAATGTCTTCTTCGATGAGTCACTGCCTCATCTTCAACCTGCTGTACCCTACTGATCACGGCTTACAACTAGAACCACAGGTTAACAACCTGAATAGGGCCAGTCAATAGTGAGCATCAGATTAATTTTCAAGTATTGGTTTTGTAGGGGTTTTTGTTTGATTGCATAGAGGATTTCATCATGAGCTGACATCAGTTAGAGAGCCACTGGGAAACCTCGGAGTACTGAATAGCTGTTTCGTCCTAGTTTGGTACTCTTCATCAGTGCGCACCCATGATTGTAATTTCGTTTTTATCTAGACCTTTGGAGAATAAGCAGATATTCCTTATCCACCCGATAACGTTTTACTCTAAGTAAATCGCCTACTCAATTCGATAAGGCTAACAACTACCGTGTGAATTAATATATGTATAACAAAGAAGGTACTGTTATAGCTGAAACTGTGAAAGGCTGTTAATTCAAGATTACTTCTTTCTTTTTAAGCATGAAGTTTGGTCTGTTGAACACCATTCAGATGCTGCAGTGTGTTGCATTGAACACTGGTAACAGGCGCAAATTCATCTGTTGTTCGTTTTTCCTGTGTGTTTCTTATCCTTGAGTTTGACTGTGAGCACATATTCTTCAATAAGGATGAATATTCTCTCTTATCTGATAATAGGTACTTTTGTTAAGTATTCAATAACTGGTTCTTGATAAAAAAAAAAGTTAGTTTGATTTCGCTACAGTGAATGCTTTTATGTGTTATTTTTATGACAGTGTCAAAACAGTACAATTTGATCATAGTGAAAATGCAACACACTTTTCTTGTGACCGTATCAGTAGTTCGGTGGTGGAACTATACGCGTGGTCTCCTATATTACTATCCTTTTTGTCTCTCTATTTTAATCTTTTTCTACTCTCTTGCTTTGCGTGCTACAAGGAGGGAGTGTGGCAACTAGAACTGTTGCACATCTGTGCAAAGGTCTACGTCGAAACCAGTTGTTCATTCAGACACGTGGTGTGGAGTTAGATTCCCCGCCCCCCGCCCAAACGCATTCCGATACCTCGCTTAGCCGGTCGTAGTATTCCTGGAGAATAAAGGAGAGATTTCTGCGTGAGGTTGGCATCCTCAATCCCCAGTAATAACAACAGGACTACTGGTTGTAACTAGTAGTCGCCATAGTGGAAAAAACAATCCTCGTTTCTCATCCCCAAGTGTATATACATACATGTAATCTGATGTATTGATGAAATCACTCATGTAGGTAAACGGTCCCCTATTCATTCAGTCGTCCATGAAATAGTTCTGAAAACAGAGGGTCATCATAATATAACATTGTATACGCTTTTGATACAGTGCTCTCTTAAAGTGTCTAATTTTTCTTCTAATCCATCTTATGTGTCAAGATGTTTGTTCGTCTTGTTTTGATACTTTCTAAATATTTATACAGACGTCATTGATATAGTGAAATGTTTTCTTTTTTGCTTCTTTTTCTGTATTTCTCAAGGCTGTTGAAAAGCACTTAAAGTTGGTCGGTTTAATAACCAATCAGTATAAACAAATGATGAATGGTTCAGTTACTGATAACCACCAGACGACAAGCAGCATATCATCAACAGATAACATACAAACTCCTTTAAGAAATAGAAAACAAGTTTTAAACAATGCATTGCTTACAAATGATCAATGCAAATTCGCGTATTATCGTTTCGCCTCTGATCCTAGCCTACCTTGGCGTGTATATGCAACATTTTGTTGGGCTTTAACAAACTGTCTAAATCAGTATGGCGATTATCTAGAGTAAGTTACTTGGCTTTTGAGAGATACTAATTTGAACATTTCAATTATGCGCCTATGAACACTTCAAAGTCTTGCATTTCTGATTGATGCATTTATAAGTGTAATAGTCTTGTTGACGCAGATATATGCGGATGATATAGTCCTCCTTCCTAGGTGAAGACGCTGATAGAATGCAGAGTCTTCTGTAAACACCGCGAGGACGAACTGAAATCTTCGACTGTTTGGCATGCGATTCGCTTGTGGTGGCAAATGTAGGATGCTGCTACATGACTGGACTGGACTGGACTACGTTGACTTTGCTCCTAGCTTAAAGATAGGGAGTAAGATGGTAGTGTGCTGAGGACTTATCTTATTCGAGATGTTGTCTCATGAGTCCCAGTGGGTTAATCGCTGACGAAATCACAGAATGGATACAAAAGGCTCATGCGGCATTTACCAACAAGCATCATCTCTGGTGGACACATGATATCCAGTCGTCTTTCATGGTTGACTATGAAAGATGGTCATTGAGAGTGGAAGACATGAAAAAAAAACAGCTGTCTTCGATCATAGGTGTCTTCATTCTATCTCTTGCGTTCGATGGTGTAATGCGGTGAGCAAATGTTGAGGTTAGTCGTCGAGTGTTAGGTGGGCAGGGGAAATCAATTCATGAGGTTGTTAAGCTACATTCCATTGTGGATTAAATTTATTTTGATAAAATCCCACAGTGTTATACAGTAACATTTACTAATATCCACAACAAACTGTTGTGGATTTCACTGACTGGTGAGGTTATGTTTTCGTTTAACCACCACTAGCTCTTTTCCGACGTAATTTGTCATTTATCAGCTAACGTTGCCCGTGGTCGAAGAAGGCGATGGATTGCTAGGAATGCATACGTAGCACATGTCCTAACCATCTCGCTCAATCGACGTAACTTCACAACCTTGTTGATTGATTTCCTCTTCTAACTTAATATTCGATTCCTAACCTCAATGTTGCTCACCCTATTATACCCCCTAACACGTCAAATGGACCGCAGACACTTATGGCCGAAGGCAAATGATAAATGTGCGTCGGTGGCACAGTTGTTAGGACTCTCGCCGACCATGCACATGGTCCGAGGTTCGAGTCCACGCCGACTCACACTTGATATCTATGGTCGGCCTGCGAATTTTGGGCTACCGATATCCATGCTGAAAATTCCATACTTGTACCAAAAATACGGTGTGGAATCAAGCTGTGATCAAAAAATAAATAAATAAAAATAAAATAGTTTTTCATACCTTTCACTTTTAATGTCCATCTCTAACAGCCAGAAACAATGGAGGACAGAGCCGACTGCTCAGCACTACACAAGCCCTAGTGTGTTGCGTCTACCCCCAAGCCCTCCGAATTGCCTTTAACCACCTAACGTCAACAATTCCAACTGCACCCTAATGGTTAGCCACCTATTAATATTATTGTTCCTAGAGGGACATAGGGCTTCAGCCGAACGTCTTCATTGCATTCGGTTCCCTACCAACGCCTTCACCTGGCTCCGAATCTGCCCACACGCCTTCATCTCGTCATATGACGTCATCCTCCTCCATGTCACACTTGAGCGTCGGCGGCACAGTGGTTAGGACTCTCACTGACCATGCACATGGTCCGAGGTTCGAGCCTACGCCGACGCACACTTGATATATGTGGTCGGCCTGCGAATTTTGGGCCACCGATATCTACACTGAAAATTCCATACTTGTACCAAAAATACGGTGTGGAATCAAGCTGTAATCAAAAATTAAACTTGCCACTCCCCTTTCGGGTTCCACTTGAGTGACGGCCTGCCATGTGATGTCACTCACTTGATGGTTTGTTTTCTCAGAGAATGGCCAATCTAATCCATCTCTATTTCTTCCAGCATATTTGTTGCACAGTTACTGCCTGTTGGGTTGGTTCGCTGCCAGAGATCCCACTGGGTTGCTGACTTTCTCTGGCCATCTGATTTTGGGTAGTATTGAGCTGTTGTTTGAAGTGGTCTTCATGACGCGGAGCCAAGTCTCTGATCCGTATGATAAGTAGCACTGACTTCACCTTGGAGCTGAAAATCCGGATCTTATTTTTCATGCTGAGCGGCGCTGTTGACCTCCACACATAATTGAGAGCAATCAAAGCCTGCCTTGCTTTTCCAATCCTCGCTTGATGATATCCTCGTGAGTCCCACCTGTAGTTGAAAGAATGCTTCCCAGGTAGGTAGGAGGTTACTTCTTTTGGATTCCTCCCATGTGTACTGATTGTTATTTGCTGTTGGCCAGGAATCTTCATCACCTCTGTTTTCTCTTTGTTCACCTGAAGGAAGTCTCATCTTTGATGCTTCTCCTGCCAACTTGTTTCTTCTCACTTGCATATCTTCCAGTTTGTGGGAAATCAGACATGTATATCATCGTCGAAGTCCAGATCACCCAGTTTCTTCTTCTGTGTGGGTCTATTTTATACCTGTTTCCTCGTTGACCGCTGTTTGTTACGTTACACGCCAATAAAATCATTGTAGAATTGAAAGCTTTCTTTCATTTCACTACACTTAACCTGTTTTCTCTCTGTGAAGTCAGCTATTTCTAGGCAAATGTGTATAAACAGAAGTCAACGGAATTCTTTCCTTCCTTCCTAACTTTTAAAATTGCTAATATAAACACATATTTTTCCTTTCAGGACGATATCACTCAGTAATAAATCAAAAGAAAGACTCCAGATGTTGAAAATGACGCGGTGCTATACAGCTTAAGAAAAGTGTTTAGATAACAAACAGAGTTCTATTTTTGTTCTAGAGAATTTCATGCATTTATGATCTATTTATTTATTGTAAGAATCGTTACCATGTGTGTGAAATAAATACATAAAAGACATTTTCTGCCTTTGCAAATTTCAAAAAGACCAAGTAGTAGTCGTAGTAGTGGTTGTTTACGCACAGGAGAATTGAAACATCATGCCATCTTCAGTTGTTCCCTACTGGTAGCTGCTACCTTGACGTGGTGGTTGGGCTTGCATTTCACAATGACCCAACAAGCTACACATGCTGGAGCTTTTGTTCCTGCAGGTCCTACCATGCCAGAAAGGTTGTTCGCATAGCGGTTAGAATAAAGACAGTTACCGGAATTTTCTTCTGCTGCTGTGGAAGAGGGATGTAACGGCAATGAGGTGTTTCCCTCAGATGACCAGCATTTCAGCTATGCTGTCTCTCCACTCTGGAGAGAGGGGTAGAAAAGGTCGACCCCAAAAATTGTACATCCCAACTTATCACGGTGATCCATAACCGGCGATGAGTTTACTAATACGGAACCGACTCCAGAAGCCAGTTCATACAGGCTGTGTGTGACCGGCGTCAATCAGTTGTCCCCCTGGGCTCTGCAGTTATGTAAAATCAACCTTCTTTCTGTTTCTGGTACTCGAAGATGCAATCAACTTCCATGGTGTGGGCAGCCGGGTAGTAACAACCGCCCACACACACTTCCAAGAGCACACGAAGCCTTCCTGAGCCTCATTCTCCTTTACCCAAATCATCTTCATCTACCTCCCTACTACAGTTAGTACTATTTTTCAAGCTAGTGTGGCATGTTCACTTCACTCTGTGACCGCAAACAACGTTGAGATCCATAGAAACACATCCGCCAGCCTCTTAAAGTCACGTCGTCAAATTCATATAGGAGCTTTCAACGTCAGAACTCTCCCCCATATCGGACAACAGGTATCACTAGCAAGAACTCTGGCATCTCGAGCAATGGATGTATGTTGTGTTTCGGAGACACGCATGCAAGACCCGAGTGTAGTCATTCACGTAACCCCACTCGGCAAACAAGGTCAATCTGCAAAATTCACTTTAAGAGGGTCAGGAGACCTCTCAGCTAGCTCGCGACGACTCGCAGGTGTAGAGATAGCATTGAGTGTTAAGGCAGAAGAATCACTTCTTGACAGGATCCACGTAGATAGTCGTATATGTGTGTTCCGTCTGAACTAGTCCGTTAATAGAAGAAGGCGTTACCCGTCGTTGTCTTTTCGTGGTCTCCGCTTACGCCCCAACAGACTGCAGTTTGGATGAACTAAAGGATGACTTCTACCTGAGACTGCTTAATTTGCTGCAAAAAGCAAAACGTTCAGATAAAGTAGTTTTAGCAGGCAACTGGAATTCCGAAGTAGGGAAGTTGTGCCAAACTGAGAAGTATGCAGGCGGTACGTTTGGAGTTCCCTGCTGACGAACCGACGACGGTGATCGTCTTCTACAGTTCTGTTCAGATAATCATCAGTTCCTGGTAAGCACCAACTTTATTGACAAAGAGAGACACTACGTAACCTGGAGACCTCAATCACCAAATTAACGCTGGACTCAGACCACATGGCCATAGGGTATTTTGGCGATGGTCAGTAGAAGACTGCCGCTCTTTTTGAAACACATGCGTAGACTTTGATCACTCTCTGGTTCGCGTACGTTTATGCTTACGGTTGAACGGACATTGTTGGCAGCGAAACGGTTGCTTCCCCAACTTGATCGAGACTCTTAGTCTCTATTTAAGAGGAAAATAGCGAAATGTGTATCTGAGGTCGAAAGCAGTACCCCTCCTGAGGAAGTCTGACACAACATACAGTAGGCTGTAGACAGCTGTTAATTACTTCAAACCTGAAGTTAGTAAGACCCATTGGATTTCCACCACCTCATCCTAACTGATTAACGTAAGAAGATTGATTCTGAGGACCTCGGAATATGACTAGAAGCGAAAGCTGCTCAAACGAAAACTAACAAGAAGTCTTTGCAACGACCGTCATCAGTGGTGGGCGACAAAAGAAAAAAGAGATGGAAAAGGCATCGGCGATCGGTAACACCAGACGACTATTCAGACTTATCAGGGAAACAGGTGGTAAAAGGCAGATGATAAGTGAAACAATCTCTAAAAAAAGTGGCACCATAATTAGCTCCCAGGGTAGACGACTGGAACGCTGAGTAGAACACTTTAAGGAGCAGTTTAATTGGCCTACAGCCAAACTCAAATTACCGAGCGTCGAAAACCTCCCTGAATGGTATATAAACACCGGTCCTCCGTCCCTAACTGAGGTTTTAATAATAATAGTTTTTGCTTTATTCCAAAAACAGTACTAATGATACAGCAAAAAATTTTCAGCATTCAGTACAATATTGCATCTAATTTACTTAAAAACGACAAAAAAATAAACATTACATAATAATACAGCGTTGTTATAGCAGCTATGTAGCAATTTACTGTATGCAATATGGAGAAAAATATGCATAAAGTATAAAATTGTAGTAATAACAACTAAAATAAAATAGCAAAGTTGTAATTAAACGATAGAAAGTGTGACAACATATAATACAGAAAGATGAACAATGAAAGTGTCGATTCACTTTGCTAATTACGTAGTAACTTATGTGTTTCACGTCTAATAGAGTCTTCATCACAAAATACGTTATTGTAGAATTTCTGTACTTAGTGGTTCGAGCATATAACTTTTTATATTGACTTCTCGTCCTATCTGTTGAGATACAAGAGGAAAGGTTGGGCATGAGGTTAGCAACCCCATCCTGTAAAACTAAACACTGCTACAGATACCTGATTGTCGTAACTCTTTAATGTAGAAGGTAAGACGAAACATTTTCTTAGAGACTGATAAGATGTGGGATGACCATGAAAGGTCAGAGGAAAGAACCAATCCATGGTATTTAATGCTTGACTTGGTTTCAATTTCAGTGCCATCTATGCTACAGGCATCATGGTAACTAACTAGTTCCTGTATGTCACGTCGATGCTTGAAAGTAAAGTCAAGCACCTGACATTTGGAAGGATTTAACATAAGACCATTTGACTTAGACCACTTGTTGATGTCCAATAGAGAGCTGTTAAGTTTGGAGCAGTCAGACTCGGAAGTGATATAGTCAGGTCATCAGCATATTTGACAAAGGTGGTTTCGTCTAAACAAGAAACAACATTATGATATAAGTTTACAAAAGCTGTCGCCAGTCTGGAACGAGGTAGAGGAGCCATGGGACCTGATGGAATGACTCCACGGGTATTTTAGGATACTGGAGACAGCCTGCGTTAACTAAGTTGGCATTAAGCAGCGTCTGGGAATCAGAGGAAGTCCCGTCGTAAAAGTGCCAGGGAATTCCTAGAAGCCTGGTACTCAAACGAATATGCAATTAACAAACACGTTAATAAAGACCAAATATACCAACTTATAAAAAGTAAATCACGCGACCAGAAAGTTTAAAATCCAAGTCAATAGAAAATGGCCAATACATATGTAAAGATGGTTTACCGGGAGATGCAGTTATAGCACTCATGAAGAAATTTAAATCATTTCAATTTTGCTAAATATTGCGCTGAAGATGTTGTCCAGAAGGACGACGAAAGCTCCACAACTAAAACGACCATCTCAGAGAACACTATTAATTCCAAATCATCCACCTGAGCTACAAATCTGCACTGTTATTTCGAAGTCCCGTCTTGTTGGTGTAAGTCACTGAAGGATTACCTTGACTAATATGGTGGTATCTAAAGTTCTAGGCTCAATAATAATGCGTAAACTAAGCGGTCCACAGAAGGAACAAACATGAAAGAGCCAGGCAGGCTATAGACCAGGAAGAGGGTGTATTGCTTATATATAGACATACTTACCATCGGTGTCCAACAGTCATTATATTTCTTTAACTTCGATTCTCTCGACCGAAAAATACTCTGGCGATGCTTGGCTGTAAAGGGAATGCCGAGAAAATACATTTCAGTGATCAAGGCACTCTACACAAACTCATGCAGTTGGCCAGGTGGGAGCTTACGGAGTGTTTTCGTCGGAACTGGTGACAACTAGTGGTGTCCGTCAGGGATGTCCACTGTCCCCATTTCTGTTTAGTTTCATCAATATACTAGTGAACTTGACCGTAACTGACTTCAAAGACTCAGGGATTGACTTGTTACCATCAGGGAATATGTAGATGATGTAGTCCTTGAAGTTAAAGACGCTGACAAAATAGAGGGCCTTCTGAACACCTTGAGCTGCAAGCTTTGACTATTTGGCATGAGATTCCCTCCCGCCAAATGTAAGACGATGCTACAGAACTGGACTACATTGACTCACTCCTAGGTTAAAGATATGGAGTGAAGTGTTAGAGCGTGTTGACTACTTCACTTAATTGAGAAGTTGCATCAATCAGTGCCAGCGAGTTGATCGCTGATGAAATCTAATCACGGATATAGAGGGCTAGTTTCGCACATGCCGGTTTACACCGTCTCTGGCCCAAGTGTGATATCCGATTGACTGTCGATCATAGGTCGTGGGTACTGCTCACCAGTTCGCTGTGCCCTCCTTTATGGCTTTGAGACCTGGTCACTGAAAGTGGAAGGCATAAAAAAGGCTAGCTAGTTGTGTTTGATAATATATGTCTGCGTTGTATCTCCTGCGTAAAGTGGTAAAATAAGGTGAGCAACATTGACGTTAGTCATCGAATGTTAAGTTAGAAGAGGAAATCAATCAACGAGGGTGTGAAGTTACATCGATTTAGCGAGATGGTTAGGACATGTGCTACGTATACATTCCTAGCCATCCATCGCCTTCTTCGACCACGGGTAATGTTAGCTGACAAATGATAAATTACGTTGGAACAGAGCTAGTGGTGGTCAAAACAAAACATGGCGTCATCACTCAATGAAATCCACAACAGTTAGTCTAAGCTAGCTACGTAGGAAGGTGTAGACTCCTTGGCTAGTTGGGGTCCTCGGGACGGTAAACACCAATGGCTAGAGACAATTGGTGATAGGGCTCAATGGTTGGCTCAGATGCATCCACTTCTTGTTATTGTTCTTCGATATTACTATTCTTTTTGCCTCATATATCTGTGTTTACTGTGTCTATTTTCTGTCTCATTTTACTTTTTTCTTCTCTGGCTTTGTGTGCTGAGTAAAGTGTGGCTACTTGAAGTCCTGCACATCGGTGCAAAGTTCTACGTTGAAACTCCATTATGAAACCAGTCAGTCGTCATGCACTCCATGAGAAAATGACCAGTATGAGCGGAAAATACTCGGTGGTTTGTAGATCTTTTATGTTACGA